ACAACAAACTAACTACTAATAAAAATAAAAAAAAAAAAAATTGATTTTTTTGCATAAAAGGTGTATTTTTGTTTGTGGGTCAACAAAGGTGTTTTTTCATGAAAACAAACAAAATAAGAGTCGTTGTGAATGTCATCACCAATTAATTCGGGCTGATATCATTCATTCCTTCCCAATTAGTTTAATCATAATGAGAAAAAAAAATTGGAAAAAAAAAAAATAATAAAATATTTGTTTTTAGATTATAATTTAAATTAATACATTTTGATGATCAAATTTAAATTGTACTACAAGTGTATTTCTTTTTTAATATTATTATAACAACATTAATATTTGTCAAAGCAAAGTCGTTTTTGTATTATTATCTATCTATATTATTATTATTTATATTTCTATATTATTTTCAATTTGTTTTTATAGTAATTTCTTGAATGCTATTTGAATTTGATGAATGAAATGATTGATTAGTTATCAGTTAGTTTAGTTTTTCAAATATGGTTAAATAAATAGTTAATAATTACCTGATTTTTGTTCTTCAGTTATTGTGGTTGGGAAGATCACTGTGAATTCAATAAAGAGATTACCGGTTTGCGATGCGAAATCGTGATGTGGCATACCTTCGTTTGGAATCTGTAAAATGAAACCTGGACGGGTTACCTCCTTACGTTGTACACGAACTTTGTGTTTGTCGAGGTGTTCGATCTCCTTGTCGAAGCCGGTGAGTGCCTCCAGCAGTGAAATCGACATCTTGTAGTGCAAGTTGTCACCGGAACGCGAGAAATCCTTGTGTGGAATCTGAACGATTCTGAAAATAACATCTCCCGGTGTGGTGTCGGGTGCTTCCTCTCCCATGCCCTCGAGCTTGATAGTCTGTCCCTCGGACATGCCACGCTCGATCTCGACGGTGTAGGTCTCTTCGCCAGTCTCCACCTTCTTGCCTTGGCAGTGTGGACACTTGGATGTTGTCTTCTTTCCTTTGCCACCGCACTCGTCGCACGTAGTTTGCATCTGTTGTACGAAACCTGGACCCAACTGCTGGATCTTTGTCTTGATTCCGCTACCCTTGCAGCCGGAGCACGTGGTGACGTCGTCGGCATTCTTGGCACCGGTACCACGACATTTGTGACAGAGAACTTGCTTCTTGTGAGTGACACGTGTGGTTCTACCGAGGTAGAGGTCCTTCAACGATGCTTCCAACTCCAACTCAATGTCGGCGCCACGCTGTTGCATTTGTTGGCCGCCACCCTGCTGACGTCCTCCGAAACCAAAGAGATCGCCAAAGATGTCCCAACCGCCACCACCGTGACCACCGTTTCCATTCTGTTGACGTTTCAGTCCCTCCTCACCGTACTGATCGTAGGTACGACGTTTGTCAGCGTCCGAGAGACAATCGTAGGCCTCGTTGACCTGGAGATATTTCGCTTGCGCATCCTTGTCCTGATTCTTATCGGGATGATATTTCAACGAGAGTTTACGGTAGGCTCTCTTTATCTCTGTTGGTGTACTGTCACGACCGACTCCAAGAATTTGGTAGTAGTCGGCACCACCAATAGCAACAATCACCAGCAATGAAATAAAAAATATAGTATACAATATTCTGTTGTTATACATTGTTGTTGTTGTTGTTGTTGATTCTAAGAATATATAAAAATAAATAATTAATCTTGAAAAAAAAACAAAAACTAGATAGGTTGGAACCAAAGAAAAACAAGTCTGTTTGTTATTTTAATTAATAGTTTTTTTGAATTCGTGTGCTCAAAAAATGAATTTTGTTTTCTTTTTTTTTTTTTTTTTGATGACGCATCAACCAAAAAATTTTGTTTTTGCAAGTGATTGCAAAAAAAAAAAAAAGTTAGATATAAATTTATTGTACAATACAAATACCAAACAAATATATATTAACTTGATTAATTAAATAAAAATAGATAGATATAAAGGTCAAAGTTATAACTAATATGGTATTAATAATTAATTTGGATTGTTTTTGATATTTTTAGTAGTATTATTTTGAGAGAGGCCAATCGTAGATTCAAAAAAAAAAACCAATTTATAACTAAATAATTTCAATTTACATTTTTAGTTCTGAAATTACAACTTTTGTGTATGTTCTCTGATGTAATGAAAAATCAGAAACCAAACCATATATATTCTTTTTTTTTTTTTTTAACAACATTATTTGATTGTACGTTTTTCTTTATTGCCAAATTAGACAGCAAAAATGGTGGTTTTTTTTTTCTAACTAACTGATTTTAAGATTTGCAAAAATTTTCAAATAAAATTAGAAAAAAACAATAATAAAATAAAAAAATCTAAAAATTATAGAGTATTTTTTTGATTGTACAATAACATACTACGTAAAATCTTAATAACCTTGTATCACTATTGTTATTATATGTTCATTTCCTAAAAGAATTAATGTATTTCTAAATAATAAACCAATCAATAAATCATATAAAATTGTAATAATATTAAAATAATTTGTAAAAAAAAAAATAGAAAAGAAAAAGAAATAATAATAATAATATTAGTGTAGTAATAGAAAGAAAGAAAGAAAAAACATTTGAAAAAAAAAAAACAATGTTTGGTAATATTATAAAAGGAATTAAAGGTGATAAGGATAAGGATAAAGAGAAGGATAAGGATAGAAAGCAATCGGTTAGTCCAGCGGTAATTAACAACAACAGCAATGGTGGAACCACTAAAGCACCCATTGCTAGCGAGGATCTCGGTCAGCAGTTTGCTAGTCTGCTAGACGAGTTGGGTGTCCCCGATGCCAAGAAAGCAGAGATGCAAGCTTGGTCCAACGACAAGAAGTGGGTACTCCTCATGCAACACAAAGATAAGATTAGAGACGCCGAGGAGAAAGCAAAACAAAACGGTACACTCTACGACACCCCACAATATTTCTTGTCGGCAATGCGTGAGAACGCCGCAGCACAGAATCAAAAGTTAATTTCAGAGTTGCGTGTTTGTCTCGGATCGAATCCAATGTCATGGATCAATTCATTCCTTCAACTCGGTGGATTCGTTGAAATTCTAAAGATATTCCAAACATTCCAATTGAAGCCAGAGTAAGTAAATAATAACAATAGTAATTTAAATTTTGGAATCATTACTAATCAAATTAATGAACCATTTCACTATTTTTATTTATTATAATTTAAAATCTAATAGAAAGGATAAAACAGATTTCTTGATAATGTCAGATTGTGTTACTTGTATTAAATCATTGTTAAATTCAACAAATGGATTGAAATCAGTTATGGCAACATCACACACTTTCAAACTTTTGATTTTATGTTTGGATTTGACATACCCACCTGAATTGCGTTCACTTATTCTATCATTAACAGCAGCCTTGTCATTGGTTCCTAAAATTGGACACGATTTCGTTCTTGAAGCTGTCGAAAACTTTAGACAATCTACACGTGAGAGAACTCGTTTCCAAACTATCGTGGAGGGTGCTAAACAAGTTGCAAAGTCACAATTACAATTTGAATATTGGGTAAATATAACAACAGCAACAACAATATTATTTTTATTATTTATAGCTTTTTTATACATTCAAAGAAATCGAAACAAATCAAATCAAAGTTCCAATTTTATATATTTTATTTCATTATCTTTATATTAATATAATTGTCGATCAATCAAATCAAATCAAATCAATCAAATCAATACAAAGTAAATCAATACAACATATTATCACATAATTATTATATTGGTACCATTATTCTAAACCATACACACACAATCATAATTTTTATAAATATCATGTGTCAGACTTTATTTAATCCATCATCAACCACCAACCCAAAATGACGTATATTTTTAAACTCTTTGACACACACTTTTAAAATTTCCATCCATATTATTCCAAGTTGTTTTAAAAATATATCATCAAACAATTCAATTCATAATCATTCATGTGTATATTTATCTTTATTCTATTGGCAATGATTGATTTGACAAATTTGGAGTAATTATAATAATTTAAAAAATTAATTATTATAATAATTTAAAGTTTATTCTTTTTGATTTTTAAAAAAAGTTATATTTTTATTTAAAAAAAAGATATAAAAATAATTATAAATTCTTTTAATTTAATGTTGTTCAAAAATCTAATATAATTAATTAATTTCAATATATAATTAAAAATTTTTTTTTTTTATAGACATCTTTTATGACCTTTGTAAACTCAGTTGTTAATTCACCTGTAGATTTACAAACACGTGTTTCATTACGATCGGAATTTACAGCATTGGAATTGATAGAATTAGTTAAGCCATCGAGAGGCAAACACTCGGAATTGGACACACAACTTGATGTATTCTTTGAGTGTCTCGAAGAAGATAGCGAAGAGATGGACTCTGCATACACCGACGTCAATATTCGTTCACCAACTGAAGTGAGCAGCAAACTCGATGCCATGCTCCAACAGTCACCGGCACTACACCACCACTTCCTCTCCATTCTCAGATGTCTATACACTCTGGCCAGCACTCAATCGGATCTCGGTGGAAAACAATGGAATCTACTAGACGAAGCGGTTGGATCGTTACTCTCCGATCCAACTCGTCAATCTCAATCCGACAGAATCGACACACTCACCTCTGAAAATAGAAAATTAATTGAGCAAATTGAACATTTGAAGCATTCAGCAGCAGCAACAGCAGCAACAGCAGCAACACCAGCACCAACAGTTACAGTTGTACAACAACAACAACCACAAGTAGATACAACAGTATTCACTGACAAGATTAAAAATCTAACTACATCTTTAGATGAGATGAAATCTGACAATCAACAATTAAATAGTAAAATCAATGAATTGGATAGAACTATTAAGAGTTTGGAACAACAATTGGCAAGTCGTCCAAAATCAACAAATGAACCATCACCATCACCAAATACTTTAACTGCCGAACCAACTACACCTGATATTACCAATTCAGAACCGATTCCATCTTCGGGCGGACCACCACCACCCCCTCCACCACCAGGAGGAGCACCACCACCTCCACCACCACCAGGAGGAGCGCCACCACCACCACCTCCACCACCCGGAGGAGCAGGAGGACCACCACCACCACCACCTCCACCCGGTGGAAAGAAGTCGGCTGCGCCAGGCGCACCTGCCGCTCCAACCGGACCAAACTTACCGTCCAGAAAAACACCACCAACTCCAAGCGTCAAAATGGTTGGTCTTCAATGGAAAAAAGTCAATAACAATATCATTGAGAATTCAATGTGGATGAACGCCAAGGAATTTAGTTTGAATGACCAGTTCAAGGGTCTGGAAGAGTTGTTCCAAGTCAAGAAACCGGCTGCCGCCAAACCAATGGAAGCAGGTGGTGGTCCATTGGCAGGAAGCAGTGTTGGTTCGCCAACAAAACCAGCTCAAGCCATTAGTATCTTGGATATAAAACGTTCACAGGCAATCTCTATCATGTTGAGTAGATTCAAGATGCCATTGGCAGATCTCGCCAAGGCAATCAACCAACTCGACGAGACTAGATTGACATTGGAGGATGCCAAGTCGCTCTCCAAATTCACACCGACACCCGAGGAAGTTGAACTCCTCAGAGAAGAAGATTTCAGCAGCCTTGGCAAACCAGAGCAATTCCTCTATGAAATGTCAAAGGTGACTCGTATCAATGAGAAGCTCGATTGTTTCATATTCAAACAAAAGCTGCGTTCTCAAATAGAAGAATTGTCGCCCGATGTACAAGTATTGCTAAAGGCATCGAACGAGTTGAAAGAAAGCAAACACTTCCAGAAACTCTTGGAAATCATTCTTTCACTTGGAAACTTTATCAATGGTGGAACTCCACGTGGTGACGTCTATGGTTTCAAGCTGGATTCGCTGTCGTCGCTCGCCGAAATGCGGTCGCCAGTCGACAACAAGATTACTCTGCTCGTTTGGCTCATCCAATTCCTCGAGCAAAAACACCCGGACCTCTTGCATTTCCACGAGCAACTCTCCAACTGTGAAGATGCCAAGCGTGTATCCGTTCAGACAATCAAGTCGGAACTCGGTGGTTTGCGTAAAGGTCTCAACCAAGTCAAGCAGGAAGTCGAAGTCTCTGAGGGTGCAGCCAAGACTGTCCTATCGAATTTCCTCGGACAAGCGACAGACTCTGTTGGACAACTCGAGAAACAATCGACATTGGCATGCGATTCATTCTCGGCGGTGGTCGCCTATTTCGGTGAGGACAGCAAGACTGCCACCCCCGAGGAATTCTTTGCCAACATCTCCAAGTTCAAGAGCGAATTCAAGCGTACTCACGAGCAGATGTTGAAGGAACGTGAAAACGCCAACAAGGCAGCAGCCAAAAAACTTGCTGGTGCATCGGCCAGTACTGGATCACCGAAACCTCCAACACCAGGCGGATTCAAACCACCAGCCGGTGCACTTCCAATGATGAAACCAACTTCACCGGTTGCACCCTCTCTACAAGTGCAATATGCAGGTGGCGAAGACGATGATGACCATGCACCAAACGGACAATTCATGGAAAGTCTAATGTCATCGATGAGAGGTGGTCAAGCTATCAGAATTTCCAGAAGATGTTCTGCCTATATAGGAGCACCAGGTCAAAATCAAACTGGTATCGATGCTCTAAGAGATCATCTTAAGAAAACAACAAAATAATAATAATAGTAATAATAGTAATAATAATCGACCACAATCATTTCTTCTTTTTTTTTAACCAAAACATCAGAAACAACCAACCAACCAACAACGCCAACAAAAAATCAAACTAGTATTGAATTACAATAACTTATTTATTTAATAAAACTAATATATATAGTAATAATTAAAATTTCTATTCCTCCTTTGCTCTTTCTCCAAATACAAAAATGATTGATTTACTTTGATTGTAAAATATATCATCCAATCATCATTTCTTGATCGATATCGATTTCCTTTCCTTTCATTTCATTTCTCCTTCTTTAGTTTAAATTCTTATTCTTCAATCAAACCTTCTTCTGTGGGAGTCCGCATTCTAACGACTAAATATAAAAATCCAGCAATCATAAATATAACTATCAAATAAAATCTAATCTTGTTCTCATCTTTAAACCTATGATAATGATGTTTTGATGAAATTTGTTAATAAATTTCTTCTTTCTTAATATCTATGAATATGATGATGATGATGATGATGATGATGATGATGATGATGATGATGATGATGATGATGATGATGATGATGATGATTAATCATATGGATATTCAACATACCTTGAAATACTGTTTAGTGAAATCAAACTCTTCTTGTTATATTTATCTTCTTCATCGTCGATCTGGTTGTTTTGAAATTGAATGACAGTATCATTCTTTGATGATGGTTGTTGTGGCTTTCTGATAGCAAGTCCGTACGGATTGTTATTTAGATGTGCGAGTGGCGGTGTCTCTTCGAGTAGCGATTGATTGATCTGACCCGTCAGCGAGGTCAAATCGACATGTGAAGTGGTTGGTGATGTCGGATTGGAACTGGGTGATGTTAAATGATTACTATTACTTCCATTGCTACCAATATTAGTACCGCCGTTGCTACCTGTAGTCGTCGCACCAGTACTATTGCCACCCATCGCCGAACCTGGATGACTTACCTGCAACTTGTGTGCAGATCCAAGGAATGGTTCCGCCCATGAAGAGACTCCAAACGTCTTTCTAATACTTCTAGACAATCCATCTACTTTATCATTTGGTGGTAATATTGGTTTCTAAATGGTAATCATATCAATCAATTAGCCAATCGATTAACCAATCATCATCATCATCATCATCTATCATCTATCGTCTAATCTAACTAATCTAACAAATCTAACTACATACCATACATGTCGGACAAGCATATCCAGCTTGTGCAGTTGTTGCAGGTAATGAACATGCATATACATCAATACATTCTGGATGAAATAGATCTAATATATAATATAAATATATTAATATCAAATCCTAAAATATCTAACTAATCAACTTACCATAGCATAGCAAACGAACAGAATTCTCTTTAGATAGTTCACCTTTGCATACTCCACATACCGACTCTTCAAACTCACTATCTGTTAACCAATCTACATATGATCCTATATGACACTATATAATTTAAATAGACAATTTGTTAGTTTTTTGAAGAATTAGAAGATGAAATAGATGATTATTATCATGATAATAATGATGATGATGATGATGATCAAAGTAAATGACATGACATACAGTTGGATGATCAGTGACTACACAACCATCACATATAAACTTTTTGTGTAAATAACAGAATTCATCTGATCTCTTTTTACATTTACAAATACCCATTATTTATTTATTTTTTTATAATACTGTTGTTATTATTATATTTTTAAACATATATCACAATACTATGGTAATAAAATTCAAAAATATATTATAACACTATTTTAATTAAAAAAAATAATGTGTGGTTATTTTTGTTGTAGTTCATATGAGTCATGAAATTTGACCAGCAATGTTTTACCAAAATTGTAGTAGTTTTTTTCATCGATTTTTTTAATTTTTTTATTTTTGTCTTATTTTTCAAAGAACTTTTGTTTTGGTGCCCAAAAAGTGATCAGTAAAAGTTTGATTTAGAGTGTCAAACGCAACACTTTCAGACCTCTTAAGATTGATAAATAAAAGAAGATATAAGATAAAATAAAAAAAGATCTATCTATCATCGATATTTAAAAAACACTGTAATTCTATTCTATTTTTTTACCTAGACAACAAATATAATAATTATTAAAAGATGGAAAGATGTAATACTCATCAAAAATCACTTAAATTAATTTGTTTAAATTGTCATATGATTTTGTGTTCAAGATGTACACCACTTCATAATGGTCATTCATTCGATCATATCGATGACATAAAAACAATATTAATAAATATAAATAATAATAATCAAAGTAATAGTAGTCAAATTAATAGTAATCAAATTATCACTATTAATAGTATTGGTGATAATAAAAATACAAATAAAATAACAGGAATATTTAGTGATATTCAAACGAATGTTGAATTGTTATATAGTTCTGTAAAGTCAAAGGTGTCTCTCTATCAAGAGTTGACAAAGACAGAGAATGATATAACAAGTAAATTCCAAGAGCTTCACGATTATCTTGTCGTACAGGAACACAAGTTAAAGAAACCGATCATCACCGACAAAGAAATAATAGAACAACAAATAAATAATCAGTTATGTGAATTGAAATCATTGAATACCATAATCAATCAAATAAAAAAACAACTAAATACAAAAAATGGTATAAATACAACAACTAATATTAATAGTACAACAACAACAACAACAACAAATAATAATAATAATAATATTAATACAAATGTTGATAATAATTTAATATCATCAACAACAATAAATCAAACGAGTAATTTAACAGCGATAACACAATTACAACCATTGGAATTGGATGTAGATTCAGATATAGATGCATCTATATCAACTGATGATACAATGTCAGTGGCAGATACAACCGATCGATATCATCTATCATCGATTATCAAATCTATGGAGGAATCATTGAGTTTCAATGATTTTCTTCATAAGAATAATAGTACTTTATTCTATCAACCATCTGATAATACAAATAACAATAATAACAATAATAATAATATCAACAACAGTATTGTTAATAAATGTGATGATAGTTCATTATTACATATGGTATTACAACACAAGAGTATTGCGAGGTTGAATAATAGCTTGACATCTAGTTGTAATGAAAAGACACTATTTAGATTCATAATAAACAACCAGTTGATCAACACGGTAAAGAATGATATTAATCAATCGGTAAAACTGTCACTTATCGATAGAGCACTGTTCGCTCAACAACAATCGATGGTAACCTACCTGTTCTCTACCGACAATGAATGTAAGATCTCGTTGATCCCGATTGCCAATTTCATCAACGGTAACATTCCCTTTGACAGTCTAAAGATTGAACAGGTACCGATAAAATCAGAGGATCGTTGGTCGTTCAATTCTGTCATTGCAATCGGTGATCACATCTACAAGTTTGGCGGTGGTCTAAGACGTTCCAATAGATACCAACGATTCTCCATCTCGAGTAGGCTGATCGATATCGATGCAGAGATGACTGGCGTCGGCGAATGCAATTGCATCTCGGTTTGCTACGACTCTAAAGACTATATCTACTTGCTCGATGGCAATATCAAGTCGAATACAATAATCTCAAGATATCACATTCGCACCCACAAGTTTGAAAAGTATGCAACCATCAACAACACCTCCTATCATCACTTGTCGTTCTTCTATAGAGGTCATCTCTACTCGGTCATTCCCATACAGAAGCGTATCATTAAATTCGATCCCGTCAATTTCACCACTGTCAACTTGGCAATCGATCTTCTCCAGCACGTTCCGAATGCACGTATCTCTTGTTTCGACGGTAAAGGCAATATCTACATACAGTCGTCGACCAACTTTATTCGAATCAACATTGAAACTGCTCACGTCAAGATGCTGAGTGCCACCAAGAATATCAGTGCCAACAATCAGTTGATCTACCACCAAGCAGGTCCCAACGAAAACAACATCTACTCACTCCAAGGAAAAGATCATAATTTCGTATATTCAATCGAGACTAACAAATGGAATCAAATCCTAAAAGATGATCAATCCGATAGATCATTCTGTGGTTCAACTATAATAACAAAACTATAAATCTTATTATTACCATTAAATTAAATAACAATTTTTGTTGATAGGGTGAAAAAACTGTCTTGGTGTTATAAAATAAGTTCTTTAAAGTAAATTAGTTGAATTGATTTCTTGTTTTTAAAACAACAGATTTTTATAGTTCTCTAAAGATGTCTATCAATAATAATGAAACACATAAATTTGTAAATCTTTCACATGTTTTATTATCAATCATTGTTTATAATTTGAAAGACAATATCGATAAGATTTGTTTTAGTTTAGTTTGTAAAAGGTGGTTTGAAAATAGAAATAGATATCTATTGTTTGATAGCAATAGTTTATATTGTATTGATAAAGATAGTTCAAGAATCACATTGAATTCATTTAGATCATTAATATATGAATCAATCAGCCAAAAGAAACAATGTTCGATATTAGTGGTATTAAAAGACAGCTATTTTAGTATTTATGATACATATAGTAGATCTAGGTAATTATTTTCTTTACACTTAATATCTTTGAACAAACTATTGATTGTTAACTTCAACTATATTTATGTCTATTTCCTAAAGATTCAATTGAAAGTATAGATGAAATAGATCAAAATATAGTAAAGGCCTCGATGAGGATTCCATACTTGTTATCCAATAATATTAGATAATATAGATAATTAACACAATATTGTCTATTCAACTACCAACATATCAATATACAATTAACCCAATAATTAATATTACAATTCAGATAATTATATTCAACATATAATCCAGCATACAAATCATCCAGATGATTTTATTATATTCAACGAATCAA